GAGAAGGAACTGCTAGCCTTAGTGGTAGCTGTTGGGAAATGAAGGCACTATCTAGAAGGACACCATTTCATCATCAAAACAGACCACCAGTCCCTTAAGTTTTTGCTGGAACAAAGGATCACAATATCCTCTGCAGTAGAAATGACTAACAAATCCAATTTAAAAATGGAATAGATAACAAGGTGGCTGATCATGCACTATCTCGCAGGGAAAAAGCTGATGATGTCGAGTGTTTAGCAATTAGTCTATGACACTTGCCTCAGTTCAAGAAATTACAGCTAGCTATCAAGGGGACGAAGAGGCTAGGAGCAAGATAGATGCATTTGTTAAGGGATAGAATCCCACATCGAATAAAGATATAAATATAAACCAATTTATAAAGGATTAGGTTACTTCTCTTAATAAAGTTGACATTTTAAGATGAAACCTCAATTCTTTAACATGGTATTAGAGCTCATTAAACTGTAACGAGCAATTCGATCCGATTAAGACTCCAAAAGTAAGCATACGAATTTTAAGATTGGTCTACTCAAACGAGCCACCATCTTGCGGGGGCATATTAAGGGATAGAATCCCACATCGAATAAAGATGTAAATATAAATCAACTTATAAAGGATTGTGTTCATCCTCTTAATAAGATTGACCTTTTAAGATGAAACCCCAATTCTTAACAGCATTATTCCTTAATGAAGGGTCATGTACAGATTTTACTTACAATAATAGGCTACTCAAGTACCAATCTAAAATATATATTAGATCTGGAGGTGGATTAAGGAATAAACTAATTGGCGCTATACATTTATCCCAAGAAGGTGGACATTCAGGGATTAAAGCTAGTATTCACAGAGCCAAACAACATTTCTTCTGGCCTAGTATGGTGAAAGAAATTAAACAGGTCTTAGAATGCGATACTTGCCAAAGATGCAAATGAGAATTTGTAGCATATCACGGGCTGTTGCAACCACTGCCTGAACCGCAATATGCCTGTAGCCATATTGCCATGGACTATTGAAGGATTACCTACTTCTAGAACCAAAAATGCCATCCTGGTTGTAGTAGACAGGTTTGCCAAATACAGCCATTTTCTACCACTGACACATCCTTTCACTGCCACCACTATAGCCAAACTATTCATGGATAATATGTATAAAGCTCATTGCATGCCACAAAGCATTGTCTCAGATAGGGACAAAGTATTCACAAGTGCTTTTTAGCAAGAGTTATTCAAGCTGATGGGTACTAAGCTACAATTAAGCTCAACCTACCATTCCCAAACGGATGGGCAAACGAAGTGCTTGGAATTGTACCTTAGGTGCATGGTACATAGACAACCTAAGCATTGAATCAAATGGATCAACTTAGATGAACGGTGGTACAACATCACTCTCCACACCTCAATTGGAATGACACCGTTTGATGCACTATATGGAATCAAACCTCCTCAATTGGCTCTAGGGGGCCTTACCAGCACATCAATGTAACTGCAGTTGAAGACTTGTTGGTAGAAAGGCACAAAATGAATTAAATCCTGAAAGAAAATTTGGCATAAGAGAATTTCAAGTGGGAGACTAGGTGTACCTCAAACTCTGTCCTTATGCTCAAAGTTCAGTAGTTAAAAGGGATATAT